AATAGGCGTAGCCATAACTTTTGGGCAGATACCAATCACGTTGAAATTTGGTTTATGAATATTTCCTACTTCTTCGAATTTATTCTAGAAGCACCGTACGATTTGTGCTGTCTGCTACAAGTGTGTCTATGGAGGGGCAAGGGTGTCCTTGGATTCACGGCCACACTGTATATTGAATCCTTGCGTAGTGGATGTGTCCCTAGGGATAGGAAAGTCAAGACGGAGGAGTGTCCCGGTATGGCGATGGCATCCAGCCACCAACCTACGCATCTCTACCTACCTTCACTCGCGTCATACGTTGTATAATGGAAACGCGGCATAACGCATCAATGTAATTGTCAACAATGGGCATTATGCGCTTGAAGAGGTTTACCACGTGGGCGACGGTAACTTTACTATTATCATACAGAGTTAATAACCCCGATGCGTACTGGTTGCCACCTGTATAACCCACAGTTATAGTATTTCCAAACGTTGCTATGTTTACTATTATTTTCTGCGTTCATAAAATCGATGAGTATTTCGCGTACGAAAAAAAAAATAAATAAATAGAGAAACAAGTACCTTATAATTTCAATTAACGGTCCGTAACCGAATCTTTCGTTCGTCCCATTTCTTATGCATATATGATTTAGCAACGTTGTCCTTACACATACGTCACGCTATCCTAGATCCTTTCTTATAGTCGACACACAAAAATTATTCGAAATGCGGCTTAATGGTCTTTCATATGAAAATACACAGCGCTACGGCACTTAAGAACCCATCAGACTTCCAAAGTCTCATCCGTGTCTACGTACGTAAGTACAGGTACGTCCATTAGTATGCTCGTATGCTCCACATGACCTGCGGAGTTGAGGTACGCAGGCGATTAGACAGACGGAGGAGCACGTTCCGGTTAAGTTTGAGTAAAGTGACAGGAACGGGTCAGTTTACTCGTATAGTCGGATACTCATGTAACTGTAACTCAGGGAATCGTGATTCGCCAGTAGGACGCTTTTGCTCCACATTCTATAACTCAATTCTTCTATGTACTTGTGGATATTCAGTGTTGTTCTCGTGCAGTACGGCGGTACGTTGGCAGCATGCTGCAGAATGCTGCTGGTACGCTGGTAGCACGTTGTAGCGGGTTATTGCATATCGGAAAGAACTTTTGGACTTTACTGTACAAAACTTAAAGATCCACAGTGCTGTAACGTATGTTCACGTATGTCACAGTGACACAGTGAACTGATCCAGAATCTCGTGCGGTCATACGAGGACCGTCTCGTTTCGTACTAATTCATGCATTAAATATCGAGCTGGTTGCAGACTTTCAAACCGGTGTCTTATCTATTTTTTTTTTATCAATTCTTAACTACTCATACGTGCTCGTGTCACTTGTATGTTTTACGGTGTCCAGTATGTGGCGCGTTCGTGCCGCAGAGCACTTCCTGCTTGAGTGAACTTTTATTGAATTTCTTATATATGTCACTTTTGACACAGACATTCATTGATACGTGTATTTTTGTATTTCAAATCATTTCTTATCTCTTATCACGGCTCCTCTTAATAATTGGAAACCTAATCGGGGTTGTTTAATGTGTAAGATTGGACGTGTCGGGTGCCGTAAAATGTACGCATCAGGAGAGTAATCGTATGGCGATTAATATTGCGCCTCGTTTGCTGTTACGTAAAGCTTCTAGCGTCAAAATCTCTCTTTTGCAGTCTCGCACGTTTTGCGTAATAGTCTGGCTTAGTGGACACGTGTCCTACTCAGTACATTACAGTTACATATCTATATCTACAGTTTGAGTTAAAAGAGTGAATGAACCGCTGATATTTGACACAAAGCAAAATTTCAACCACGTATCCCTGACGGTTGCGTGATTTAATGGATCCAAGAACGAATTGGTGGATATGAACGATTTTTTAAAAAAAATCTCAAAAAATATATTACTCAAAATTTAATTAAATTCGTACGGTCGCAACTTTCTCATTTGAATTTTCACTGCTAAAATAAATTGTACAATCTCGAAGAGTACTGTACTCCCGCGTCAAGACGCTTGTTCAGCAAATCGAGTAATTGTCCATCGTTGTAAATTAGCCGTAAGTAACGTTCGTACGATAATGGAAACGCACCATAGCGTAAAGCGTGAGTATAGTGATTCTCATTCTCCACTTGATCAACGTAGTCCAAGTTTGTCAACAGTGTGGACCGAGAATTCAGAGTGGACGATGCTGCAATTAGGTTAGGTTAGGTTGGTAGAGTGCAATAAAGTAATTCAATAGCGTAGCAGTAATACCAACAGAGAAACTCGGCCGCCGACTCGATTAGCTGGGACATGGTTCAGTGAGGAAGACGGGAATTTTATTTTAGCGGATAATTGACAAAACTAAAAAATTTTTATAACTTTACAGGTTACGTTTGGAAAAATGGATGTGACGATTGCGGTTTGAAAATTGAGGCCGGCTTTCGTGCAAATCTTAAAAATTTTCTTAAGAATCGTTCAAATAAAATTCTTGGAAATTGTGCATAGTGTATATCTATATATATCGGATACCTACCAGGCTACTAGAAGATACGTGGTGAAAGCATTGCAGAACTACGCGTAATTTTTTCTCCTTATTTGTCTGCCCCCTCTCTCTGCCTTCAAGAAGAATTTAATAGGTAATGACGCACTCATAAAACCTGTCAGAGTGCGCGTAGGTGTTTAGAAGAAGAAACAAATACGAAGATACTTTTGGATTACGGTATTAACCCACGTCCGTTAATCTAGGACTTGGGAAAATAATATTGCAATTGTATGTACGCGTTCTGGATTCATGAGAGATCATATGAGATCATATGTCATATATAGAGTTACCATGTAGAATCTATGGAAATTGCAATACGAGCCCTCGGACCATTTTTGGCAATAGGTAAAGCAATTCGACTTATATTTATGTGTAAAGGCCTGCGAAATGTGCGGTGTAAATATTAAGGCTTATTCTCATGAACGGGAATCGTCCGTTTCGCAAATTGCACGTATAGGTATAATTATTGCGACGTGAATGGCAATACTAGGGATTGTGGTAGTGTATGTTAGATGGAAGATAGAATCTGACATCGTTGCATAAGGATGAAAGTACGTCGTAGCGACCGGGTGACTAAATAATAACAGTTACGTGGCGCGGAGGAAGATGCTCCCGAGTATCGTAGAGGATAACGAGGGCGATGAGCGCAATAAGCAGAAGCACCTGGAATGGAGTTAATGGCTCGTTGTCAGCGAGCGACCGTGGGATATTTTGCTTAGACGCCATTGATAATTATACGGTTTCTTATCTTTAGTTGAAATTTTAGGAGGCAAAGTTTACACTGTTGGTCATGCCGGAAGGACTCGGTTTAGACTCCTTTCGGAACACGCGAGGTACGTAAGACTGACGCTCGACGCTTCCGAAGGGGTATACTAATGATTCTGGGTAGGATTTGAAAAAATGTTTTTCTTACGAAATTTTGTATTTTTTTAGGGGGATTTTATTTTGCGCAAATCTTAGGAAATTCAATGTGGAATTATCTGCTGTTCATTGTGCTATAATGTTGGTACCGTTAGCATTGCGGTCTTATCCGGAGCTGATCGATTTACATGGATGGAGGTCACGGAAATGCAACGTTTTCCAGAGAATTCTCAGTAAGGCATCGATGCCTCCTTTTTTAATTTCATTTTAATTTTTTTTATATACGATCATTTACGTAGGCCGTTGTATGTATTTGTGTATTACCAATAGTCGTTGCCTTCGGGTATAATTATCGTTGTACCGAAAATTTATGCTTGAGTCTTTTAAAAGTCACTTTGCTGGATTTTATACAGTCACTGTCCATCGAGTTCGAGGAAGAAGGTCGTCTGTTGATTTTACATAAAAGCCAGGAAATCAAAGTTATTCTTGGAGTCATTAACTGGGATGGTCCGATTGGCTCATGGTCCGATTTCATATATCCGATGCGATCTAAACTATTACGAGATACAAAGTAAGTCAGTGTAACAGCCGGAAGTAATGCACACGTCATCGATTATGTCATCAGGATAGCTTATCTCGAAGCTAGATATTTAGCTGTCATAAAACAAAATAAAGTTCCAGAAAAAATCTAGAAATCGTAGAAATCTGTTAAGTTCGATTTGATGATCAATCAAAAACGTTCACTGCTTTCTCCATGAAATTTTTCGAAATTTCTGCTAACAAATTTTTTTCGCGCAATGATTACGAACTTGAGAAAAATTGCGAAATGTCAAGTGCCTCGGAGCGAGGAGCTCCCACGCGATCGAAAAAAATAAAACAGACAAATAATAATATAACTTCTGACATGGATTTCATAAAGAATTCACTTCACGGCGTCCGAGTGAGCTCTGATTTCTGTGAGAAAGAAATTCATTATATTTCAAGATAACGTTTCCTTCGCAACGTTTCCGCAGAAACGATGCCACTTTTGTTTCCGTGTGACGCCTGCGCTGTAAGATCAGCCGTGATCCCAGAGCATTCGAAACGAGAGAAGAACGAACAGCAGCCGTTGGCGCCGTTTCGTTCGCCTGGAATTGAAGTTATTGGGCTGCGCCTCCTATAAAGATATTTGCAGCCACTGAATAACACAACCTATGCGGAATCCAATAGGAACGATCGCTCGACGATCTTCGGACCTTTAATAGCACGATTCGTGAGCACGGGATGCGAGTGATTCGATAAGATCTGCAAGACTCTTCCGCGCGGGCTCTTCGAACCGTGTAAACGCGGCTTTACACGCGAGCAAGATCGCACGCGATCCGCCCACGAGTTTCCCTCAGGATCCTCCTCGTTCAAGATCATCCTGATCGGCATTTATAATCGGCAGCTGCGTCGAGTTCGACTGGGATTATTTTAATGCCGAATCGGATGACGATCGATACGATATTATTCAAATATTATAGCTATATATATTCACATGTAAGCTCTGCATTACGTCAGGTCTGAATACTGAAAATAATGATAATATTTCTTTTCTTTTCCAGGTGAGTACACTGGGCTTCCTAGTGGAAACGTATTTGGTAAGTTTTTACTGTAGAGTCAAATCGAATCGGAAATTAGTGTGACCTTATTTATTTTATGCTGAAATCGATCAGGTACGGTGGGCCGATGAGCATGATGAATAAATAGTCGATGGGTGCGAGTATTGGGTCTCTCTGGTGATTAGGTTAATTTAGCATTCTACGATTTTTCTGAATGACAAATTTTCTAGTCAAACGATTTTTCGTGATAGTGTTTCTTTTCTTAAATGATTTTCATTAAAAGTTTCATAATCGGTTTATCTTTTATTGATATTATTCTTGATGAAAATAATAAACGCGCGTCAACGTATATCAGGGATAGTGTAGAAAGTGCTGGGAAACTGCGAGATTCCTTGTGAATTGCGTAAGCTCGTGCTTTCCCTCGAGTCATCATCATCATCATCATCATGATAATTGTTCTCGGTCGTCATCACTCTTTCCTGCGCCGTGCGATGACATTTCGAATCGTGATGGAAAAAAGAAGCCAAACTTACCGTCATCCTTGTTTCTTTTATTCAAACTAGATGAGGTCATTAATCGGGATTACGTAAGGATTTAGATCGATTTTTATATAATAATTTTATTTAAACGAACAAATAGCAGTAGATCAAATTGACGAAGTATCGCTCGCGAGGGATCGTTCGATATGGATCGATCGTGACGTCTGTACTCGAAAGCGTTTCTAACTTTAATTTTACGTGGATTCGATATCAATCATATCCGGTACCAAGATGGAGGTCACTGGTTCGCGTAACGAGGCGTGTCGAATTTTTGGATTTTTGGTAAACTGATCTATCTTATGAAAAAAAAAAGAACAAAAAATAAAACGGTTTTCTTTGCGATGCGTTCCTGATCTTTTTTTTTTTTAACAAAGAAATCGAGAACTCTGACACGTGTCAATCTTCACGCTGGTCAAAGTCATTCGTGCTCGACGCTCGCCAAAGTCGATACTCAACGATCGAAAGCGGTACGGATTTTTTGTCGAAAATTTTTTCCAAAAATCTTTGCAGACTCGAATTTAAGAAAAAATAATAACAGCGATGAGTTTGGATTCGTCATTAGTCCTTAGTCCAGGTTCCTCGTTCGTCATCAACGAGTAGTAAACAAAATACTTCCTAGCGATCAGGTTACGTGATACGGTAGAAAAAAAAATACCTGGACTCGTCCTCCAGGGAAGAAAAAACTGATCATGATCATTAAAAATCGTTACCGGTAAACCATCCATCCCAAGGACAATGGTCAACGTACAAGTACGGCTGGAATTGAAATCGACTAATGATTAATGGCTAAACTTTTTAGCTGATTAAAAATATTCGTCACACTATTCAAATATGTTTGCGATGACGACGTTTCTACGAGAAACACTTCCGTAATGTCATTGGTCACTGTCATCGGTCAACTAGAAAGATCATCGTCGTTAGAGAAAATTGACTTATAATTGCTTACCGTTATAACAGTGGGAGTATTGCTTCCGTTACTAGGTGCACGCTGGGTACTTGACTGTATAACTTTATATACGTCACAAGGTATGCATTTCGAAAGTGCAAGTGTGCAACGTTCAAGGATGCATCGGTGCGCTATCTTGTAATTTTCCAATGCAGCAGTGAACGTCATCGTCATTGACATTTGAAAAATTGATCAAAAATTATTCTTTTCTTTTTCCATTGAACTCTAATCGTGTAAGTCTATCCTTATATTATTATTACAAAAGACACACATTTGGTGACTTTAATATTTCGTAATGATTATTTTAATGATGCATCATCATTACGTGTCATTGAGTTTAAAAAGAAAACATCGATTTCCAGAAAATATTCATTTAAGACGGTAAGTTCGATCGGCTACGAACTTTAATCGATCGGAAGTCATCGATGCCGATCTGAAATCGGTAGAGAAATTCCCTAGATCATCGTAAATTACGAGGACAAAAGTGTGGCCAATCGCGGCACGCGGCCGCCTATGGAACTGTCCCGGCTTTCTCCGCTCCTCCAAGAAACGGAAAGCGCAGCATCCGCAACACGCCGTTTTCTCGAACAGGGATCAGAGATCATCGATCATCGAAAGAGATCTTGCACTTGGTTGACTTCGTGGATTTCGATGATTTGCTGGATCTAGGGACTTTTTTTTTCCATGATCATCGTAATGACTTCATGAATTTTCAGATTTTCTCTGTAGTCGTTCAAATGAGCGACGCGTTCGAAAAATGGTCCATATAGGGTACACAGTACACACATGGTATATCGTACGTATATACAGGGTGTACAGTTATACAGTATACCGAGGAATGAGCAAACAAATTTCTCATTTGATGACTCTTGCTGAATATCAATGATGCTACATTCTTGTTGTTTTATTATGCACCCTAGGTTATCCTCGGCATCTCCGTCATCTTCATGATCATTTTCGATTCTCGTAGTCGAGGTCATCTGATTTGCATGATCCTCCCATCGGATAATGATTATTCCTCGATGACCAATCTCAGGCCTTACGCACACGAGCATCACGGAAGTCCCAATATGCGCTAAAAAATTTATTGAACCTCAGAGTCCCATACATGCTTCACGAACCGAGGAATAAATATTATTCATGAATTCTACCAAGCGTGTATTAGATTAGTCTCGGAAGACCTTTTAATCGGTGACTTATCATTTCTTTATCTCGACTCTTCCTCCATTATCATAAATCATAATCAGTTACACTCCGTCGAGTTTCACTCATTGTCGCGAATATGCTATACCGACGTATCACTTTCTATCCTAAGAAATGCTTTCCCACTATCGATCACTCGCGCACTCGATATACAATAATAATTAATACGAAAATGTCCCATTGGCAATACATAATCGATACCACGTGACTGTCGAATGACATTTGCCGAATCTCTACAGTTTACGTATAAAATCTCTATTGCCCCAAATCAGGTCTCAAATTCAGCCCAATCATTCTCGTATGTTACACCTGTCAATGCATGACAAATATATACGGTACATAAAAGTGCCTATAGTTCGGTCGAAAAGATTTAATATGGACTTCTTTCTCTCTCTCTCTCTCTCTTCAACATCCTTTCCTCCACTTTCTTTTCTCTCTCCGATTTTACGTCCCAGCGTGTCTCTGGAGTCCCGATGACAATGACAATTTGCCAGGACGCTCACTTTTAATCTGCAAGACGTTGCCCTCGCTCTGGCGCTCGGTACGTTTTACAACGGTGTTCGTCGCGACCATTGCGTGCACTGACAAACTGACAATGAGTGTTGGGACGCGGCGGTGAAACTTAGACCTGTTGCGTAACGAGACTCTGCCTGAACATGCGAGGATTAAACGCAATGATTTTTATTTTTTTCATCAACAACCGATTTACGTATGATCCTCAAGTGTCTGTAGTGTGGAGTCACTTAGGTTTATATTTATAGATTTCTGTTTTACCGACCGATCCGAAGCCGTGTTCTTCACTCGGACTTGGTCTCAGATCGACTGTAACGCATAGGGTGGTCATAAAGTAAGTTCTCTATTAAAAAATTCTCCAACTTCGAAACGACTTTGTACATATCGGTAATATTCTTAAGAAGCAAAGACTTTCGTATGAATTCCTTCAAACGTCAATGGAATATCGAATCGGGGCCAATCGATCCGAATCATCGAAGTTTCACTCGATCGCACGTGTTCGCCGGCAGTTGTTTCTTACGTGCGAGACTACGCCTCGCGAACGCCTGGATCTTCGTTGGATTATTAAAGCAGAAGAGAGTCGCGAATGGCTGATCACGCGAGTACATACTTCATACATGTTAATTTCAAATGCACGGGATACAATGGCAGTGCCGCCATCTTTAAAGGAGAAACCGATTCGATCTAATCGGCTATTCTTCTAGACACGACGCGAGCCTCTTGGTATAAATGTACATTGCTCGTAACACCCGTTGCGTTACAGTACCTAACCTTTACACGTATTGATTATGAATTCCGTCATCCTCGATATCCGGTATTTATGCGTCATTCGATTGCAAACGAGGAAATGATAATATTTGCACTTTTTATTTTTTACTTAGACCATCTTATAATTATCCGAGACAGAGATTCAGTGTCATGCAGTTTCTATTGACAAGAGAAAAAATATAAATACATTCCCAATAGAAAGTACCTACCTTCGGCTAGTAGGAAGGTATGCGGATACGTATGGATCCATCGATCCTACCATCCGTCAGCCGTAAGCTGATCTGTATTATGATAATTAAGTGAACACGTGGATCAGTAGAAATAGAAACCCATCGTCCGCCAATGGAAACATGGGCTATCGATCTAACCTAACCTAAAGTCCAGGAGACGCTAAGTAAAGTGCCTTCAATGAAAGAAATCACAAGTGAAATCCTTGCTGACCCGAATACACCTCCTACGTGTAAGTCAGACACTGTTTCTGCTCTCAGGTGGCCAGAGACTAAATGGATACATATCAGTATCCGGCGGGGAGAGCCGTCGAGATTTCTTCTCAAACATTCCAGGCGCCTAATGAACGAGAAGCCAAGGAGATGGGGCCAGAAGAGGAAAATAAAGAGGACAAAAAATTCTAAAGAAATGGAAAGGCTGTCATTAATTTTCCTTTTTTGCAATGAATAACCAACCAAGAATGGATATACCATTTTTTGAAAATTTTCAAACAAAGTCGATTTCAACTGCGAAATATTCGTTTGCCCCCCCCCCCCC